GTTATCCTATTTCCAATCCATGTGATGTGTGCCATGTTCATTTTGTATCATTCTAGTTTTTAATCAAAATATCGTGCAGTACAAAGTCAAATGCCTTACAGAAGTCTAAATATATTCTGTCAACACTATTACCTCAATCACCCAAGCTTGTCATCTCATGGAAAAAAGATATCAAGTTAGTCTGGCAGGATACATTTTCCATAAATCCAGGTGGATTTCCATTAATTACATTGTACTCCTTTAATTTTTCATTAATTGAGTCCCATATCAGCCACTTCATTATCTTTCCTGGGATCGATGTCAGGCTGAGAGAGGTCATCCCATTTACCTTTTTTAAAAACTGGCAAATTAGCTTTCTTCCACCCTTCTGGAACTTCCCCGGTGTGCCGAGATGTAGGGTAGGTATACACTATGGGACTAATTCGACCTAAGTTCCGCAACTCCAGCTATGTGAATAACGTCGCAGGAATTGACGTATGTTACGGCCGACGTATTGCTGTGTATACACCATGCTTCATCGACGGGAGAAACTCTCCCATCAACTTACCTTATGCTTCTTGTTCTGGTGGAGTACCGGAGTCAACAGGAGAGCGATCGGCAGCCGATTTAGTGGGTCTTCACTAGACCTGCTAAATCGACCCTCGGTGGATCGATCGCCATGTGTCAATCCCCCATAGGGTGACCAGACAGCAAGTGTGAAAAATCAGGACAGGGGGTGGGGGGTAATAGGAGCCTATATAAGAAAAAGACCCAAAAACCGTGACTGTCCCTATAAAATCGGGACATCTGGTCACCCTAATCCCCCAGTAAGTGGATACAAGCCCTTACTGAAAATCAACATTACCGGTCCTGCGAGCTCCTCAGCCAGGTCTTTTAAAACTTTTTTATCCAGACCTGCTGATTTTCAAATGTCTAACTTTAGTAGCTTCTATTTAACATCCTCCAGAGATACTAGTGGAATTGAAAGTGTTATTGTCACCATATGATGAGATTATATCATCTGGTTTTTCCCCAAAAAATACAGTTTCTGCACATGAGATTTTGCTCTATTTGTGTGGAAGAATTGGGAAGATACTTTTTTGTATGAAAATTAGAGGCTGTGCAGATTAGAAAAGTCCCAGTTAATAAGAGGATTAACTATATATGGTAACAAAAGTTTTTTTGAATTGTCTTAGTTCCATTGCGTTTTTACCAGCTATAACCTTTAGAGTTTTTCTGCAGCAACTTGAGGGTTTCCACATTATAATTATATGTGTGTTATAAAGCCACGACCCATTATTTTGCACAAGACTAGCTTTTGTTAACTGACCTCATGTAGTTATTAGTACTCATCCACAAAATTAAGAGGAAAATAGAACATTTAGCTTACTCACAAGTATTTACTGTACTGTATGTGCAGCAAAGGATAGAATTACCTTATTGTGTACATATTTTCCTGTTAAAAGCCAAACTTACACACACAAAAACCAGAAAATGTACTGCAGTCAGAACGACAGATATACATTTTCATGACATATATATGGCCTGATCTTAAAGCCACGCAGATCAATGGGAGGCTTGCCTTTGACGTCACTGGGATCCTGGTAGAGCTTTAGGAAAAGCATTTGCTGTGAAGAGAGATTTTGTTCATAATTCATTTTAAGATGTAAACACATAGGGCTAAATCTTGAGCAGCAGTGAGTGCCCGCAACTCCTCTTATTCCTCTGGGACCCTCAATGGGGCTTTTGTCATAAGGTAGCGCCTTCAAGCTGTCTGAATTGTGTGATCCATCTGCTGTTGCACATCTTGGCTCAGAAAGAGCTGTGTCAGGTAGCCAAATATGTGTATACACAATACAGGAAATACAGGAACCAGCTCTTCTTGTCAAGAGTAGTTAAATATTAACGACAATGCCTGTCTGGCCTGGAGCTGGCAAGCTCATCAATACTAAATCTCATGAGTTCGTGACCGAGGGTCATTTACCTCAACAGACATTAACAAGCTTTGATTGACTTATTCCTGAAAGGTGAAGGTTTGAATATTTAAAGTTGTAAAACATGTCCACGCAGTATGAGGTCTCTTGTGCCACTGCATACTTTGGATTGGCTTGTTCCTTGACACTGCTCTGAGTTACTGGAAATACTTGGATCCTCTTCAAACCAAGTAGCTTTTCCTCTGTCAGTAAGGGAAGAGCTGCATAAGATCACTTTTTTGTAATTCCTGGATTTACTGTACTTCCTGGTAGGGCTGGCTCCAGGCACCAGCCCACCAGGCTGGTGCTTGGGGCGGGCACCTGGAGGGGGGT